CCAATACTATATTAAATAAGAATGGTGAAAATGGGCATCCTTCCCTGGTTCTTGTTGTTAAAGGGGTAGCTTTCAGTTTTTCTCCGTTGAGTGTGATATTAGCTGTGGATTTGTCATATATAGCCTTTATTATGTTGAGCTACTTTCCTTCTGTACCCATTTTATTCAGAGTTTTATCATAAATGGATGCCATATCTCATTGAAGGCCTTGTCTGCATCTATTGAGATGATCATGTGACTTTTATTCTTCATTTTGTTAATGTGGTGTTTCATGTTGATTGATTTTCAGATGTTGAACCATCCCTACATCCCTGGAATAAATCCTTCTTGATCACAGTGCGTGATCTTTTTAATGTGTTGTTGAATTCAATTTGCTAGTAATCTGCTGAGGATTTTTGTATCTATGTTTGTCAGTGATATTGACCTGTAATTTTCTCTTTCCCTGTGTTATCCTTGTTTGGTTTTAGTATCAGAGTAATGTTGGCCCCATAGAATGAGTTAGGAAGCTTCCCCTCCTCTTCAATTTCTTGGAAGAGTTTGAGAAGGATAGGTATTAAGTTTTCTTTGACTGTTTGGTAGAATTCACCAGGAAAGCCATCTGGTCCTGGACTTTTGTATTTTGGGAGGTTTTTGATCTCATTACTGGTGATTTGTCTATTCAATTTTCTATTTCTTCTTGATTCAGTTTTGGAAGGTTGTATGATTATAAGAATTTATCCATTTCTTCTAGGTTATCAAATTTGTTGATGTATAGCTTTTCATAGTAGTCTCTTACAATCCTTTGTATTGTGTGAGCTGTCCATTGTAACTTCTCCTCTTTCATTTCTGGTTTTATTTATTTGAGCATTCTCTTTTTTTCTCTTGATGAGTTTAGCTAAATGTCAATTTTGTTTATCTTTTCAGAGAACCAGCTCTTAGTTTCATTGATTTTTTCTATTTTTTAAAAAATTTTCTATTCATTTATTTCCTCTCTCATTTTTATTATTTCCTTCCTCCTACTGATTTTGGGCTTTGTTTGTTCTTATTTTTCTAGTTTCTTTAGGTACCCTGTTAGATTGAGATTTTGTTTCTTGAGATAGACCTGAATTGCTGTAAACTTCCTTCTTAGTACTGCTTTTGTTGTATCCCATAAATTTTGGCATGCTGTATTTTCATTTTCATTTGTCTCCAGGTATTTTTTGAACTCTCCTTTTATTTCTTCATTGACTCAATTGTTGTTCAGTAGCATTTAATCTCCACATATTTGTGGCTTCTCCAGTTTTCTTCTTGTAGTTAATTTCTAGTTTCATACAATTTTGGTCAGAAAATATGTTTGCTATTATTTCAATCTTCTTAAATGTATTGAGACTTGCTTTGTGGCCCAGTAAGTGACCTATCCTGGAGAATGTTGCATGTGCATTCAAGAAGAATATATATTCTGTTGTTTTTGGATGGAATGTTCTGTATTTATCTACCAAGTCCATCTGATCTAATGTGTCATTTAAGCTCAATCTTTCCTTGTTGAGCTTCTCTTTGGATGATTTGTCCACCAGTCTAAGTGGACTATTAAAGTCCCCTATTATTATTGTGTTACTGTCTATTTTTCCTTTTATGTCTGCTAATAATTGCTTTATATATTTAGGTGCCCCTATGTTGGATGCATAGATATTTACAAGTGTTACATCCTCTTGTTGGATTGTTTCCTTTATCATTATGTAGTGCCATTCTTTGTCTCTTGCTACAGCTTTTGTTTTAAAGTATATTTTGTCTGATATAAGTATTTCTACCCCAGCTTTCTTTTCATTGCCATTTGCATGGAATATCTTTTTCCATCCTTTCACTTTCAGTTTGTGAGTGTTTTTATGTCTGAAGTGTGTCTCTTGTTTGCAGCATATATATGGGTCTTATTTTATATCCATTCAGCCATCCTAAGTCTTTCGATTGCAGCATTTAGTCTATTGACATTTAAAGTAGCTAATGACAGGTATATAATTATTGCAATTTTATTACTTTTCTTCTCTGTGTTTTAGTAGCACCCTATTCCTTTCTTCTCTTGTTGTTTGCCCTTGTGATTTGATAGTTTTATTTCATATTATGTCTGGGTTCCTTTTTCTTAAGTTTCTTGTATTTATTATACGTTTTTGGTTTGTGATTACCATGAGGTTCCTATGTAATAACCTATGTAAATAGCAATCTATGTTAAGTTGATGGTCTCTATAAACCCTACTCTTTTACTCTCCTCCTCCCACATTATATATTTTTGACATCCCATTTAACCTCTTTGTGTGTGTGTGTGTTTCCCTTAAGCTGTTATCATGGAAACTGATAATTTTAGTACAGTTGTCTTTTGATCTTTGTATGAGCTTCATAGGTGGTTGATCTGCTACCTCTACTGTATTTTGCCTTTATGAGTGATTTATTATTATTATTTGGATAATTTTCTTATTCCTATTTGTGGTCTTTTCTTTTCCCCTTAAATAAGTCCCTTTAACATTTATCATAAGGCTGGCTTATTGGTAATTAAACTCGTTTAGGTTTTGCTTGTCTGGGAAACTCTTTATCTCTCCTTCCATTCTGAATGACAACCTTCCCAGATAGAGTATTCTTGGCTGGATGTTTTTTCCTTTCAGCACTTTAAATATTCTGCACCACTCCTTTCTAGACTGCAAGGTTTCTGCTGAGATGTCAGCTGATGGCCTTATGGATTTTCCTTTGTATGTAACTTGTTGCCTTTCTCTTGCAGATTTTAGGATTCACTCTTTATCTTTAATTCTTGACATTTTAATTATAATGTGTCTTGGTGTGGGCCTCTTTGTGTTCATCTTGTTTGGTGCTTTCTGTGCTTCCTGTACCTGGATGTCAGCTTCTTTCCTTAGGTTAGGAAAGTTTTCAGCTATTATTTCTTCAACTAGATCCTTTGCTCCTTTATCTCTCTCTTCTCATTCTGGGACATCTATAATACAAATGTTAGTACACTTGATGTTGCCCCAGAGGTCCCTTAGACTGTCCTCATTCTTTTTAATTCTTTTTTCTATTCAGCTTGGGTAATTTCCTGTACTCTTTCATCCAGCTTGCTGGTCTGTTCTGTGTCATCTACTCTGCTGTTGATTCCCTCTAGTGAATTTTTCATTTCCATTATTGTATTCTTCAATTCTGGTTGGTTCTTTTTTAAATTTTCCAATCCTTTGTTGAAATTCTCACTGTGTTCATCTACTCTCCCAAGATCAGTGAACATACTTATGACTATTAGTTTGCATTCTATCAGGTAGATTATTTATCTCTGTTTCATTTAGTTCATTTTCTGAGGACTTGTTCTGTTTCCTTATGTGGAACATACTCTTTTCTCTCCTCATTTGCTTACTTCTCTGTGCTAATATCTATATTTTAGTTAGATTAGCTATGTATCTTTATGTGGGAGATATGGCCTTATGTGACACATTATGAGGCCCGGCATTGTGCTTCTCCCTCATCACCAGTTCCAAATGTTCCAGGAGTATCCCGTGTGGGCTATGTGTGCCCTTCTGTTGTGGCACGGTTGCTCTTGCTGCAGGTGCATGGATAGCCTAGGCCCCCTGGCCAGCTAGTTGTTAGGCTTAGCTCTGTGCGGCTGCTACAGTCACTTTAGCCACTTTATTAGGCAGCAGGAGCCCCAGCACAGTTGACTGTGAGGTCTAATAGCACACACCTGATGCTTTTTTACTGTTAAGTGAGTCAGGGCCCCAGTGTGGCTGGTTGCAAGGCTCAGGGACTCACAATTGCTGTAAGCCTCTGGCCTATGAGGCTGTTATCAGCTCTCTCAGGAGTGCAGCTAGTGGGAATAACCCCAGGCCTGAAAGCACACAATGGTTTCAGGCATTGGAAGGTGGGGCAGATCCCTTACGTGGCTGTTTGAGGCCTGCAGCACAAGTTGGCTGCAGCCAAGTCTTACTCCCAACAGGCCCACACACCAAACCAATGTAGTCCTGCCTCATGTGCACACCTTGCCCCACCAAAGCAGACCCACTCACCCCACTGCAGAGGTCCCACACACCCCACCTAGATGGACAAGTTCCTCAAGGGTTTGCTAGTGGGCAGGGCCGGTCCCTAGGTGGGGATGCCTGCCCTGGCTAAGCTGGAACTTTGGTGCTCTAGTGGGCAGGCAGACCCCTGTGCTAACAGGCCAGGGGAAAAGATGCAATGGCGTCAGGCAGTGTTTGTGTCAGCACACCTATACTAGGTCACAATAATGGCTGCCAATAGAGTGTCATCCCTGGGGAGGTGGTCCCAGCTGCCTCTGCCTCGCTGAGACTCACTTAGAGCTTATCAAGTGATTCTCTTTTACCAAAGGGCCATGAACATTTCTTTCTGGTGATTTTGTGATGGTTTCCAGAATGGGTGAATTTGTGTGGGCCCTTTAAGAGCAGGTATTTCTTTCTCTTATGTTCCATAGCTTTTCTGGGGATATCCCCTGTTGGTTTTAATAGCCAGCAAAGGCAGGTAGTCTGACACTCATCTTGGTTGTGCTGAGTTCAAAAGCTGATTACAGTACAGCTCTCCTTCTCAGATCCTCTGATTCTCCAGGAAAAGCTTTGCACCTTAAGATTACTCCTGGCCGTGAAGCATTGTGGCTAGAATGCGTTTTCTTCATCAGAAATATATTTCTGCCTCTTCCACCTCTGTCAGTGTTATCTCTTGTTGTGGGGGTTCTTTTTTCCAGTGCTGAGGTAATTGTTCCACAGGTAGTTGTAAATTTGTCGTGTCCCTGGGAGGAGGTGAGTTCAGAGTCCCTCTTACACCACCATCTTCCCAGCAATCTCCTGTAGCTATTTAATATATTAATTGAACCTGGCTCTCCAGGAAATCCAGGCTGAAATTAAGAGAAGCTAGGGATTATAAATATTTCCAGGCAGCTTATTTCCTCCTATGGAAAATTATGTTGTTCTCTAATGACCTTGTTTTCCTAAAACCATTAATCTGTTTCTTCAACCAGAAGGATGCTTAATTAATCTTTTATCTAGACAATATACTAAGGACACAAAATGTGACACGTTCAATTTCAGGCAGTTTATTGCTTCATCCAACAATCATTAAATATTAGGAACTGAATATACAAAGATAAAAGAAAACACCTTTCTTCTAGTTTCTCATTCATTCATTCAAGTGTTTGCGATAATGAGCAGACATATCTTCTTTTAATGGACTTGTGCAGGACAGGTAGGGGTCACAAACTTGTATAAGGCATAAGTTCCTGAACAAGACACACACAAATGAATACAACAAAATCATAGGGAGAGATAATAACGTCAATTTAGGCACCTCGGAGGTCAGTATGGGAAATTTTATGAAAGCTCAGAAGATATCTAATTTACCTTTGGCATGAAATGGGGGAGGAGGTAGAGCAGAGAAGGCTTCTCAAAGGAGGTAACCCATGAGCTGATGTTTGAATGATAAATAGAAATTAGTAGGGCAAAGAATACTAAGGAGGATGGAAGGTGGAGTAGGATAAGTTTGTCAGATGTCAGATTTCTGATCCTGTGGTCCACTGAGCTAAGAATATCACCAGGCTCTCCCACACCATAACTGGGAACAAGTCTTACAGGATTGCATCCTTTTCTTACATCATTTTGTGCATTAACAGGAAAGCAGCCTCATCTATGATGCCTGGGCTACCCTATAACACCACCATGGAAACCCCTGCCACCTTCTTCCTTGTGGGCATCCCAGGTTTGCAGTCTTCACATCTTTGGCTGGCTATCTCACTGAGTGTCATGTATACCACAGCCCTGTTAGGAAACACCATCATAATGGCTGTAATCTGCATGGATTCCACTCTACAAGAGCCCATGTACCGCTTCCTGTGTGTTCTGGCTGCCGTGGACATTGTTATGGCTTCCTCTGTGGTGCCCAAGATGGTGAGCATCTTCTCCTCAGGAGACAGCTTCATCAGCTTTAGTGCTTGTTTCACTCAGATGTATTTTGTGCATGCAGCCACAGCTGTGGAGACAGGGCTGCTGCTGGCCATGGCTTTTGACTGCTATGTAGCCATCTGTAAGCCCCTACGCTACAAGAGAATTCTCACACCTCAAGTGATGCTGGGAATGATTGTGGCCATCATCATAAGAGCTGTTATATTTGTGACTCCATTGAGTTGGATGGTGAGTCATCTACCTTTCTGTGGCTCCACAGTGGTTCTCCATTCCTACTGTGAGCACACAGCTGTGGCCAAGTTGGCATGTGCTGACCCTATGCCCAGTTTTCTCTACAGTCTGATTGGTTCCTCGATTATTGTGGGCTCTGATGTGGTCTTCATTGCTGTCTCTTATAATCTGATTCTCCAGGCAGTATTTGGTCTATCCTCAAAGAATACTCAGTTGAAAGCCTTAAGCACATGTGGCTCCCATATGGGAGTTATGGCTCTGTTCTATTTACCTGGGATGGCATCCATCTATGTGGCCTGGCTAGGGAAAAGCATAGTGCCTTTGCACACCCAAGTGCTGTTAGCTGACTTGTACCTGGTCATCCCACCCACCTTAAACCCCATCATTTATGGCCTGAGGACCAAACAAATACGGGAGCGAATATGGAGCATGCTGCTGTACTGCCTCTTTTACCACTCCAACGTGGGTTCATGAACACGAAATCCATGGAGACCTTAAGGATTCCAGCTGACTTCAAAGATGGCTTAGAGATCTATGGAGTTTGTTTGCTTCCCCTGGCACCATAAGAGTTCTAAGTTGAAGCTCTGAAGGATAAACTTATATAACTTTTCAACTTAGAGAAAGAATATGAATGAAATGATTAATTTTCTGATATTCTTAATCGTTTCAATCAACTAGTATCCAGATCAGAGAGAAGTTTGTGCAGAGAATAGTGATATGGGGTTTTTCTTTTCTTAGGTTCTGTTCCATATTTCCAACTTAATACCCTACTAGTACCTGAGTAGAAGAAACCAATTATTTGATCCCCCAACCCCTGGCTGATTTCCTCAGAACTGTCCATCTCCTCACTTGTTTATATGGAAGCAGCTATTAATATATGACCCTGCCTGCCTCTGGCCCATTGATGAATCCACTCAACTTGGGTCATGTGCTCTCACTTGGACCAGAGGCCTTCTACAGTCAAAATAGATTCCAGTTTATCTGAAAAGATATAAACTTGGATCACTGACGGTGGCCATTTTCCAACATATGAACTTAGAAAGAAAAAGCTATTCCATAGCAAAAGAAGAGATTAGCAAAATGGATGAAGAAACTGAATCGCTGGTTCTCTGGTTCCAATTTATCTTGGATACCCAGGTACATCCCTGTTATTACGTTCTGCAAGATATCTCTACATCCTTTTACTATATCCCATATTGTTAAGGTAGATGGACTCAGCGTACTAATCACTAGGTTTTTGTTTTTATGACACAGAAGCTAAGGCAATGTAAGTTTGATTTTTGACATCTTTCTCTTTGTTTCCTAATTTTGCTTGAGTAACTGAACTGTAAGACACAAAAGAGAGGGATCAAATATAAGATAGGTCTATCTTCTTCTGGATACCTCTAAGGCGGTGTGCTCTGGGATGAAAAGGTCAATAGAGAACAAGATCAATTATGAAGCTGAAATGTCACTACTCTCCTCCAGGTCACCAGATACTTATTTTGTTTTTGTTTTTCCCTTTTCAGAAAGTGTTAAACAGAATAATCACTATATGTTAAAAGAAAAAGGTTTCATATGCAAGAGATACACATATTTGACTCTGGTACATTTGAAAATGTTATGAGCCCAGGTCTGATGGCTTAGTGATTAAAGTTAGGTGCTCACTGCTACTGTGGCCCAGGCTCACTGCCAGTTGCGGAATCAAACCACCCATTTGTCAGTTGCCATGCTGTGGTGGTAGCTCACATAGCAGAACTAGAATGACTTACATCTAGGATATAAAACCATTACTGGGGCTTTGGGGAGTGAAAAAAAAAGAGAAAGATTGGTAACAGATGTTAGCTCAGGCTACTCTTTTCCAGCAAGAACTAAAGAAGAGGAAGAAAAAAAATTTTAATACAAGATAATTTTACAATAGTACAGATACCAAAGTACTGTATCTGAGTCTCAATATCTCCTTTCTACTGATGGGGGGAAGGCATTGAAAATTAAGCAAAATAATGAATGGAAAGTACAAAAAGCAACATCAATATATTGTATTTAAAAAATAAACCCAATATATTTCTAATTCCACAATTTTAAGGGGTAGTTCTTGGCACTATTGAAATTGCAGTCCTGTGTAGATCAGTACTCATGTGGTAATTATTCTAAACAGATTTTCTACTTAACAACTCAGCAAACCCACCTTTTGCTAATATTGGACTTTGTTTACCCACTAGAATGTATTCTATTTCTGAATACCAGTGGAGTAGGAATCAGCCTCTAAATATCTGATAATGATGCCCTGAGTTCCCAAAGAGCAGTAAAAAAGACTCTCCTCCCCTTGCCACCCCCTAACATAAACAAATCAAGATCATGAGGCAGTGAAGCACATTTGAAAAGATTTTGATTTTGAAAAGTCACACTATTCTTTCTCCATAAAGCACCAAAAGAACTACGTCTATTAAATCAAAGAATACTAGATACATTAAAGAATCTGAGGTAAAGCAACAAAGGTATAGTCCAGCCTGCAGCCAAAATAAAAATCTCTTTCCAGCATTTCCATCAGAAGGCTACTCTGCCAACTTGTGTCTCATTCACATTACTATTCCCTGACACCAGCTGGGATCCACCGTTGGTACTCAGATATTGAATTACAGATTTCCAAAAACGGACTGGTTCCCTGCCATGGCTGCCCCAAAACAGTAAGTCTTGCGCTTCTCTGGATGCATTCAGATCAGACCCCTCCTCTATTACAAGCAGCAATGTGTGCTCACTTAACTAGTGCCTGGGATCCACAGCAGACTCTCAGTGTTTGGATCTTAAGAGATTACAACCAATCATCCTTGAAAAAAAGGGAGACTGGATTTCCTGTGGGGAGTTGTGAACCCACAGATTTACCCTCTGCCTCTAGCTTTTATAGGACCCGAGAATCACAAGCTTTTAGTAGCCTTTCCCCTCAAGACTCAGGCATTGCACCCCTTGGTTTCTCTGCTGGTAAAGCAAGGATGGGCAAAGCTCATCCCTGCCTGGCAATGAATGATCACACCACGTCAGAGGTGCCAGGCCAGACATTCTAGGGAGTGGTGCATGCACTCTACCCTCTGATGGCTATGTGTCTCTTCCCCTTCTGGACCACTTTTGAAATTACCCATCAAATCAGTTTTTGAACAGGAATATAGTTAAGTACCATCCAGTCTTTCATGCCCCTAGGAGGCAAGAAAAGCTTACTTTTGTTTTGATTCTAGGCATAGGAATGAAAATTCCCTCACTTAAATATTTATCAACACACACACACACAAACACACACACACAGTGCTAGACAGGGGTTACACTGATGAACCAGACAAATAAAGTCCTTGTCTTCATGGGGTTCTTAGAAGGGAAGAGTAAGCAACTATCTTAGAGAAAAGGGTTTTCATACACTGAAGAACTTTAGTCTTCTTGCCTGGTCTTACAATCAAAGAGTATGAAATAAACAATTTGTTTAAACTTGTAATTCTTCTAACAAGTAATCATAGTGCCCAAATCAGCTTTAAAAATGTCAAAAAAAAAAAAAAACCCATCCCAAAATAGCACATTACAAACAAAACCATTTTACTCCTTAATTCATTCTAGGTTTGAATGAATTTATCACTTAATAATCTTTTTCGAAGAACTGTCCAAGATTGGTCCTAAGAAAGCCATAGTAACAGAACAACACTGATTTGGCCCTTAGCCTCTTCTGCTAAATGTCCAGGGACATAACTAGAAGTACTTCCTCAAAACCCATTTCTGAAGTCTAAAAGCACTTCCCCAGAGAGTTCCCCCAAGTAAAGACACATGGTCCCTCTAATGCTGGTCAGCTCAATCCTTTGCAAGATCAGGTCTGTGACTTACCAGTTCATTCCACTCCAAGCAGTTGATGGTAACTTCTCCCCTTTACTACTAATAGTCAAGGAGCAACTTGGATGTGTGGTGGGCAGAATGAGTTCATTTCCCCATTTTGGTCTGTTTTACCTCTTTCATACGTGAATAGCCGATACAATAAAGGTAGAAACATAACTTTTGCTATCCTTTATTACAGGAATTACTTTGTTTTTGCCTATACCTAACCTAGTATCTACTTTCCAGCCAAATCCTAACCCAACTGTCACTACCTTCAAGTATAAACTACCTCAGAGGTTGTGTTACACAGCATCAATATGTAATGTACATATTGTAGCCCGTACAATAAGCAAAACCATTAGTTCTCACATGGTTGCCTTGCAGTTTGTTTCCAGCCACAATCATTCCCACATCACACTCTTAAGAGCTGTAATGAATTGTTTTGGCTACATGCAGCAACCACGTTAAGGTGAAATGCCCAGACACATAGTCTCAATTCTCTTTCATTGTACATATAGCTCTCAAATTGGCTTTCTGAGCCTAGTCCAATTCTTTCTCCCTACCCTTCCCTCCTGCTTTCCTCATTTGTCATAGATTTAGAGAAGAGAAAGGCAGAATATTATATAGTTACCAGAAACATCAAGATGCCCTTGGGGACAAAAAATATCTGAATTTTAGCCCAACCAGCTTGTAAGACTTCCTGGAAGTGCACTTGTTTCACATTTTTCTTTTTATTATTTCCATTCTCTACCCTGATGTCACCGTCTCCATTCTAATCCAAAGACAAGCATATACAATAGATGCAGAATATATTACTGCGGGTGGAGTTTCCACTAGCATGGGACCTTTCTGTCTAAATGGCTCTAGACTGTCAGGAAAGGCTTTAAGAAACAAAGGCCCTGCTGACAAGATGCTGGCTCTAAGAAGGTAAGATAGGAAGGTGACACAGGCAAAATCCATGGCTTGTCTTCATTCATCCCTGAGAAGGGAACAAAACTACAGGATGGTTCTAAGATCTTTACAACAATCCTGTGAGGTAGGAGAGTATACAGCTACTGTAACCCCGCTGCCACTGAGGACAGTTGAATATTTACAAATGGGTGGGATGTTTCAGACCCAAAGGTAATGATGAGATGCAGACATGTGACTGAGATGTGAGTTTGGTAAACCCTTATAATCTTTACAATCTTCTTTCAGTAGCTTTGTGAGAAATAACTTGCTGCGTTAAGGCCATTTCAGTTTCTTCATCCATCAAGTGAAAATAAGAACAAGGCACACAGGGTTCCTGATCCTAACATTTAAAGAAAGGGCAGAACCAGGACACAGGTCTCCTTTGAGATAGAGTTTGAGATAGAGAGTGATTTGCCCAGCTCGTACTCAGAGAGAAGACGACCATTAGCGTGGTCTGGGCAAAGCTGCAATGTATTTCTCTGGTTAGGAGATCAGAGAGCAGGGGTCAGTTTTGGGTTGGTCAGAAGCAGCAAACCTAAGAGGAAGCATCCAGCCACTGCCATCAGCACCCAGCCAGTTCTGGACACGGACTGTAGTCTTTTGGCTTGTTGGTCAACCCTTCCCAAAGGGTTTCCCAAAGGCTGGATCTATTTCATCGTCCTCACTAACTTAATGATGGCACCAACAAGGATGGGGAAGAGGGGCATGAGCTACAGAAAGGACAGAGCCCTGATGCTCAGAACTGCTCTGATCTTCACCATCAGCCTGGCCACACGTCCCTCATAGGGGTGCACTGCTCATATGATAGAGCCTCAGCTTCTTCCCCTGCGGAGTTTAGAGAGCCTTTGGCCCAGGAGCAACAGGGCACTGGGTCAGGCAAGAGAATTCCTGGATTCCAGGCTCAGCTCAGTTCAAGGGAACCCTTGTCAGCAGCAGGGCCCTCCAAGACCCCTGCAGTCCAGGTGAAACTGCAAGGCCTCTGGTTAGGATGGGGGCTCTCTTAGTCCTCCCCGTTCAGGGAGCAGATGGTCAGAGGAGTGGTGTTGTTGGCACAAATGCTGTAGCAAGGACTAAAATAAGGCAGGAGGCGCCCAGGGAAGGGAAAGTGGGGAAAAGTGAAAATGTGGGAGGAGTTGTCAGTCACATTATAGAAGGAGATATCATGGGCCTCATAATCCAGGAAGACTCCCACCCGGCGTGGGGGGACTGGCAAGGACAGCAGCGGGTATTCTTCAGTGCCTGCCCGGTACTCATTTCCCTTCCTCAGCCTTATCACCCAGAATCCATAGCGGGGGGATAAATAGACCACCTCCTTCCGGTCTACATTTTCCTTACATACTCCCAGGCCCCATTCAGACCTGTCTCCCACCTCCACCTCCCAGTAGTGGCGGCCTGAGGAGATGCACTGGCTGCCCAGGACAATATTGTAGCGGTAAAATCTCTCAGGATTGTCAGGCAGTTTCTGCTCGGTGTCTCCATAGTGCACACATTTTCTGTCCTCAGACACGATGAGGCGGGAATAAGCAGTGTCTGGATCCAGGAGCACATCAGCTATGGAAAAAGATCTTGGATGGTAACACCGATACAGAGCCGGATCTGATAGAGTGGTACACTCTATCCACATACACTGACGCAGGGGGCGTGGGTGAGGTCTCCCCGATAAACATAGGCCAGATTTTTCAACGATGGGGTAGGGGGCTAGATGGGGCATCCAGAGGTCAGTGAAGTATTTTCTTTCTCTGGAAGGGTCCCTCCCACTGGCCATCACAATCTCCCCCAGCATTTATTACCGGCATACGTCTTCAGGACCTCTCTTAGCCCCAGCACACGGCAATCCGTCTTCAACTCCAAGGAGACTGGTTTTGGCCGCCTCAGGCTCCAAGACCGGCTCCTGGTAGAGGAGGGGTAACCCTGGAGGCCAGAAATCCTGACTCTGCCACACGGGCCTTCCCTTAGCGCAGGGAAGAAGGGTTTGGCCGGGGACCTAGTTGGTGGGGTGCCCCTCTCCAGCAACACCAGGCAAAGCAGAGATGTGGTGATTATTTACTGAGGCCAAATGGTTTTTGGCATAGAGAGGAGAGCATTCCCATTCCTGTGCTGCGGGAAAGGTCACATGTGTACTTGACATCAGTAGAGGAAGACGTGTGCCACAGAGGGAAAAGGCTGATACTCAGAGCTCAGAGCATAACGGAGACATCTGCGGTCTTTTCCCCTCCTTGGGAGATCTACTTGCAACTGTGTATTTTATAATTTACCTGAAATTCTTATTGCTAATACTTGAAATTAATTTGATCAAGTACAAAGAAGACAAAAGAAAGATGAATACATTTCTTTAGCCAATACGGTAACAGTGGGGGAAGATTATGGACTAGCACTTGCTTCATTGTAGGTCCTGGGTCTCTGCTCCTTCCCCATTTCTGGCTCTGGCCAGGACCCACTTTGCCTTATAGGGCTGCCTTGGGGCTCCACAGATGGGAACATACCTGTTTAAGACATCCTCAATACCCTAGACAGAGAAAAGAAAACAGCACATGAGTATTTGCTGTTCCTTGGAGGAACCAGACAGACACTGAGCTCTAGGAGAGGGTTCCTCTAAGGGAAAGGGAGGTAGAGAGCAGGGCTGGAGAGAAGACATGCGGATGTAGAGGGGAGAAGCCTACAGAAGTGGAGAAGGGCAGGCCTAGCTCTGGCTGGATTGGCTGATTTCAGGCTCCATCGCAAGGCTCTCAGGCCAGAGAGTAGATGGCACTCCTCCTATGAGGCTACAACTACAAGGGGCCAGGTCATCCACCCACCCGGGGATAGAACAGCAGGCATTAGTGGGAGGTGTATGGGATCCATGTCTGGCTCACAGGCCCCACTGAAGACTAGGGAATCCTCTCTCCTGGAGTCCCAGGCTGTCTTCAGCTGTCATTCAAGGTTACCAGGAAAACCTGCTACTCACCTGCAGCATCCAGCGGACTGGCCTCTGAGACCTCTCTTCCAGCTCTGCAATCATCTTCCACAGGAACCGGCCTTGCTGGAGGAGCTCATTGTGATTCATCTCCAGCTTCTGCATGGTCTCCCCCTCCTCCTGCTCTAGGCTGGCCAGAGCCGCTGCTGCCTCTACTTCCAGCTGCCTTGGTGGCTGTTGTTTCTGTAGTAATCGCCAATACTTCTCAAACTCCCACATGATACTCTGCTTTCGGGTTTCCAGCTGTATCTGCAGAACCAAGATCAGAAATCAGTACTGGTATTGTTTGTGTAAGGGCACCACCCAGGATTGAGGACACTGGCATGTGTGTACACTTATACTCTGGAATGTTCTGGTACCAACCATGTGTTTGGCACAGTAGAGGCCAAGATAAAGGATACTATTTTTCCTACATTTCTGTTCCCACAGCTGCAATACGTGCTTCTGGGTCATTATTCTTACTCTCATTGACACAGTAGGGCCCAGGTTAGCATCATGCTACTATATACTCTAAATTATTTTCTATTTTCAGAATAATGACAAGAAGCATTATACTTGAGCCTCTAAGGCAGTGGAACCTAACCACAGTGGTAGACGCTTTTGCTTCTCAATGGTATTATATCAATTCAACATGCTGTTTTAGACTGGTTCAATGTTACCTTTTATTTATCAAAAGTTGTTTTTGTGTGTGTGTGTGTGTGTGAGAGAGAGAGAGGAAGAGTGGCCCTGAGCTAACATCTGTGCCAATCTTCCTCTATTTCATGTGGGACACCATCACAGCATGGCTTGATGAGTGGTGCTAGGTTTGCACCCAAGAGCTGAACCTGTGAACCGAAGGCCACCAAAGCAGAGCATGCAAACTTAACCACTATGCCACCAAGCTGGCCCCAGATCACACGTTTTGACAGTTTGGTAGTTATGGGCCTCAAATTTATTCCAGAGGTGATTTTCTAATATTTTAATAACTTAACTTTTAGTAAATATGTTCTAACTGGGGAAAGAGAAACAAAAACTATGCTTTACTAGGTGTTATAAAGTAATACCAGTGTGATCTAACACATTAGTGAGGTGCCTACTTTTCCCTGCTCACATATGGGGACACACGCCCAGAGGTAATCTGTGTATAATAATCAAGAAACTGGAATTGAGAGGTTCCATGACATGCCTAAGGCCACATACCTTGGAGAGAAAGCTGGTAAGAGGACCCCTGGGTATCTGACTTCAAACCCCACAATCTGCCTCCCAGAGATGAGGAAGCTATCATGGATCAGCTCCAGGACAACACAGGGACCACAGACACTCCTTTCCCCAGATGGCAACCTGCCTTCCAGTTAGCGGTTCGTTTCCTTTCACCAACTTCCAGCTTCCAGGCCTCTTCTTGCTCTTTCCTCAGATGTTCCAGAGCCTCATGGAGTTTCCACTGAAAGAGATAAAAACCTCATGAGGCCACCTTGGGCAGCCTGGGTTGATAATGAGGCTTCCTAGCATTGGTAGGCGATGAGAAAACAAGTGTTTCTCAGAGGATGGGCCAGGATGAATGCTGGGAGAAACGGGAATGCCAGGGAGGGAGCAGATCCTGCCCAGATGACATCCAAGGTAGTTCTCAATCTGAGAATCATTTCAACTCCCACAGTCTCTAAGTTTCCGTAAAGTATAAGAAAAGGTCCATTTCCATCCTTCCCAGAAAGCTACCTTGGACTTTCCTATCCATGCCTCTTGTTATCCTTATCTGCATTGTTATGCTACAGCCTCCTGAAACCTTCTTATTCAAAGCACAGTCCAAGTGAGACGGCAGCCACAGCATTATCTGGAGTTCGTTAGAGATGCAGACTCTCAGGATTCAATCCAGCCTCCTGAATTAGAATCTGAATTTTAACAAATTCTTGGGTGGTTCCTATGTATATTAAAAGAAGAAGCACTATCCTAGAATACTAATGCAAGAGATTACTACTGGAAAGCATGAAGTATTCTGATAATAATATTAACCATTTTATTAAAGATTTGCCAAGTGCCACATATGGCTTCAGCACTAAACATACATTTGATCCTCACAATCCCTTGAGACAGGCATTATCCCCATTTTATAGATAGGAAAACTGAGGCTCAGAGAGTGAGCTAATCAAAGTTATTCAGCTGGTCAATGGCTGGGCTGGGATTTAACCCAGGTCTTTAATTCCTATGCCTACGTTACACTGCCTCCCTATTCCAATACTCTGAAACTAAATAAGTCATGTTAATTTTTAGAAATCCTTCTTGCATAGGAAAACAGCTAATTCGCAGATTAGTCTTATATTCTTACCTGTTAATCTCAACTTCAAGAAAGAGAATTAAGACCTGTTCGGATCAATGGATCAGAGAATCATTGGGATAATGATTGTGATAAAGGTGCATCAGCATGGACATTGGAAGAAAGAGTAAGCAGCTGGAAGTTGATGAGGGTAGCCATAAAAAAGGAGGAGAAAGTGTGTCCATCCAAAAAAAGACTTGGTAGAAGAGAAAGAACACTGGCGGGAGAGCAAGAAGACCTGAGTCCTAGCCTTTGATCTTCCTTTAACTACCTCAACCTAAAGCGAGCAGGACCTGACAAGGTGAGACTAGATAATCTCACTCAATCCAAAATGACTCAGCCATGGTCCTTCCACCTTTCAAACCAACAGGCATGATCTCAAATTTCTAAGCCTCAGTTTTGTCTCTAAAAGGAGAGAGTTAAACTGGCTTACGCAATGTCAAATGACCATTTGTGGCACTGCCAGGAAGAGGTTCAGTTCTGATAACTGCAGCCTTGACTGCTTCATACCCAAATGCATCCAAGGCACCCTGAACCCAAGCTAAACCAAATTGGTCTCCTTTAAAGTCTCAGTATGGAAAGTCTCTTTGGGTTAGGCATTCCACCATGTTGGGGTCAGGAATAGAGTTGGAAGTGGGAGGGAAGGAACTCAAAGCAGGTCATAAATGTAGGGAGATCATGGCTCATGTATCAGGTCCCAGGGATCTGGGGGTGTGAGGAGCCAAAGGAATGAGTTCTCGTTTTGTCTTTGCGGCCCTTGGCCAAGTCCTTGATCTAGAGAAAGCCAAGTGAGGGGCCGAGGAGAGACTGGGCTGGCTAGCCTCCATCTCTCACCTTGTACTCCCAGGTGACATCCTCCATGGGCACGACATTGTGGGCCTGATGCTCGGGGGACAGCCTGCAGGCCTCACACATGACCAGGCCATCCTCTCTGCAGAACATCTTTAGCTGTTTGCTGTGGAGCTCACACACATCCCCCTTCAGCCCCACTCCTGCATGCAGCTCTAGCAGACGGACTTTTTCTACAACACTGGCCAGCTGCCAATTAGGCCGCAGGTTCCTTGGCTGGACAGGAGCCCGGCAGAGGGGACATGTGTAACCCTGGTCTTGCAATTCTCCTGGGACCTCCCAGAGCCCAGAGAGACAGCTGTGGCAGAAGCTGTGGCCACAGTCGATGCTCACGGGCTCCCTCAGGAAGGTCATGCAGATGGGACAGGCCACTTCTTCCACAATGGCTTCCACTAGTGCTGCAGGATCCATGGTCCTTCTCACACCCTCCTCAAAACATGGAGAAAACCAGGGGCCAAGGCAGTGATGTCTACAAAGAAGGAAAGGAAAACAAGTAAGAGAAAAAAGGAACAGAAAAGCAGAGGGGTCAGTGTAAGGGATAATTAGTGACTGACAAAGACAACTTCCTCCTTTGGATCCTCTATTGACCTTGTTTAATAAACACTGGCCTTCCCAACTGAAGTTCTGACTGTGTCCTTACTCACACTACACAAGGGACATCTGGGGATGCCTAAGTGAGTGGATGTTGGAAGTTATTAGTTTTCATTCATTCGGTCATCCCTGACCCCCCCTCTGGGTTCACTCACCAGACCATTTCCACCCCACCTCAATCCTGCTCTCCAAATCAGCATTGCTCATCTTGAACATGGGTAAGGTCACATAAAATGTGGTGTTTCAGTATCCAGAATAAGGCCAGAAATACCCCTAGCCTCACTCTCTGGCATGTTTATATGTATATTTATATACTTCAAGGCACAGAAAAGGTAATATGCCAGACCCATTGCCTATGTGCTCAATTTGTTTTCTTGTATTGTGCACTAAAGCATAAGGTATAAGAGAACCAGCAATACTTTCCCCACACCCTGTAAACCCCTGCCCACTCCTCCAGCACTAACATTCACAAGATGCCAAGACACTCTCTTCAGTGATGTTAGAAGCAGATACGAACAAATGCCCCTTGGAAGATAAAAACAAAAGTCATCGGATGATAATGAAACCCATACTGATGAATTCACTACTCCAGCAAGAAATCTGAGATTTCTGCCAGGGCCACATGTAGCTACAGAACTTTAATGGTCAACATCAGGCCCTTGGCACAGTTGGCCTTATTTATTTGTTCACTTTGCAGGTCTGTGGTACCAGTTAGTGTGTGTAAAGGGAAGAGCCATGTTGGTCTTAGTCACTGCTGTATTCTGAGCACCTCAACAGGGCCTGTCATGCAGTTATTGCTGAATAAATATTAGTTGAATGAATAAATCAGCTAGGCAGAAGCTAGTTCCCAAATCCACAATATTTTTCTGATGTTAGGTAATTGAAAGCATAGTATACCTTAATATTAATAGCAAGCATTCCTTAAGCACTTATACTACATGCCAGGTACTATTCTGAGCATTTTACATGGATTAACTCAGTTTATTTCACAACCCTAAGCAGAAACCATTACTCTACTCTTCTCCTTTTACAGGTGTTTAGTCATGGGCTCCATCATTCTATCTTGGGCAAATTACTTAACGTCCTGAGCTTCAAGGTGTAATAAAAATTCAAGAGTAGAGAGAAAACACTGTGGTTTAAGGGTAGACCACTAAGGCTTCTTGAAGGAAGTGGGGCAGTAAGTAGATTTTGCAGGACTCTCTGTTATAGGGCATCAGGTCCTGCCTCCTACTGGTCTCCCAATTTCCTCCTCCCACTATCATTACCAAACTGTAGGATCCAGTATCCTAGAACCTAGTTTTACTAAATCATGAACCTACTGAACAGCCTATCCTAGCTGCTCAGGACCTAGTCCAACAGGAAGCTCTCTCTCTTCACCCTGAAACAGCACCTGTGCCCAGTCCAGCAAGGGGAGAAACTTCCACACTTTCCTGCAGACTCCATGTCCATTCATTCTACCCCACTGGGGTTCCTTCCCTTTTCCCAGTTTGAAATGATCTCTTAGTGATCCCACTCTTAACACCACTTGACATGTATATTTTTATTGTCTTACTTCTCACACTAGAAGTTTCATGAAGGGAGTGACATCATCTGTTTCCTTTGCTAGTACATTCCAAGGCCAAGAATAGTGCCTCAGATATTTTTGAATACATGAGAATTAAATGTAAATGCTGATGTTAGGTTGGAAGTGGAAGAAGTGTCAAAATCCTCATCAAACACAGAGGGGCACCAAGAACTACCAGCTAAAGCTGACACAACAACAGGTTGATATCTATGATTGAAAGCTCCTACGATCAACGAAAGAATGAAAAAAGCAAGTGAAAATTAAGAAGATGGTGGCAGTAGGGAAGTGAGATATAGAAGTGTCAAAATGATAAATTAAGAAAGGCTGTGGGAGCCTATTATTTAGATTTAGTGAGGTCGTAAAAAGATCTAAACATGAACAAGTTAAAAGTGGTGCCCCTGCAAAAAGGACTTAGGAGCAGGTAGCTATTGCTCTTTGATGTAAAACTTTTATTTTTTCTTATACATAAATTGCTTTGACAAAACTTTAATTATTAAACGTTTAATTGCTTAGACCTTGCATTTGGCAGAGCAGGGAGCCAGTCTGGGAAACACATTTGAGGGGATGGGGCGGAGCCTGGAAAAGACTCAAGAGGCGGGACTACAGTGGGGAGAAGCCAGGCGGTGACTTCTGCGTTCCGGAGCAGAGGGGGATGGTAACCTCCTGGCCACAGGACTCGGGGCAGGGCCCGGGGACCCGGGCAGGTTGGGGCGGAGTAAGGTGAGCCTGCAGGACCTCTGACTTCAGGAGCGGCACAGCTGTCTACCCACCACCCACCTCAGCACAGACTAACGCCCCCCTGTGGAAACCCAAACTGGAGACGCCTGGTTCCCGCGACAGACCCCACGGCGCAGCACTTACCGCCGGCGCGGAGACCACCACCCCAGCAGCGATCGGGGAAGCTCCTCGGCCTCTTCCGCTCAACCCCGAGGCCCCGCCCCCAGGCCCCGAGCCCGAAAGCCGAGGGCACGGTCCGGGCGCCGGAATCTGCCCGGCCGGGACGTCATTGTGGAAGCAGCCAATCACAGAGAGGGATTTGGACAAGCCTCGCCAATCGCAGATGGGGACGGGGGCTTCACACCACTCTTGGCGTGCCGGTGTATTTTGTCTGCTTGCTCGGTTTTTCTGCACCTTTTCCTCCCTCAGAGCTCCTGAAGCCAGTCCCAGGACGGGTCAAAGGGTTGAGGCTCCCGAGTGAGGCCGCTCAGGGCCTGGTTTAGGAAAGGCCCAGCTGGCTGTCCGCCAAGGAAGTCTGTCTCCGTTTCCGCTAGGGCTGACTAGTGGCTCTTCAGAAAGAACCTGTTCCTTCAGGGTGATAGCGCTAGACCTGATGCTGTTCATTCGCCAGTTTTCCATGTCAGCCTTAGCAGCGTATGAGTTCAGCCATGTCTAGTTCTGTGACCCAATTTCGCGCAGAGCTGGGCACACGTATGCCGCGGAATCTGCAGTTTCCTGCAAGATGAGCGACCTCTCCTGGATCCAGACTGCAGAGATTGGGTTCTCCTTAAAACCAAAACCAAAACCAAAACCAAAACCCTCCTGAGTTTTCCTGCCAAACTCTTATCCTTCAGTACTTGAGCAGGCAGCGTCTCAACACTGTTGCTACAGCCCACTTTTAGAATTAGAAGCGGATACTGGGAACTGGTGGAGTAGAAGTGGAAACCCTGGCCGGAAACTTTCAGAAACTGAAAATGTTTGTCAACAACTGGCCCCGTCCTTCACCCAAACACACAGATGCAGATATGGACACACACCACACAATCTGCTACTTAAGGCAGTGATTTGGGTTTTTCCTCGTGCTTTCTCTACCTTGTCCTTTTCCTGATAGTTAGGTGAGTCAGCAAATAAAGGCACATCCTGTCCGCAGGGAAAATAACCAGGAAATCCTTCATTGAAGCTCAGTTTCAAATGATTTCATTGTTGGAGCTGATACTCTTTGGATCCTCGTGTGGATGTCAGGCCCCAGGCCATGGTTGAAATTCTAAAGGGTGAGGTCTAGAAAATTCCTGAATCAAATGGGCCCATGAGCGAAAAAAGAAGAAAAGAGGTGACTGAGGTCTGAGCTGGGCCCCCTGCTTCACCTGGATCTGGAGAAATGTCTGTCCTCACAGAATAGTGAGTGTGTTAATTGAAACAAGCCACTTTAAACATTATTGCGCGTCAGCTGCTTGTAACACTTGGTGCTGGGTGCTGGGATTACAACTAAGAGCCACATGGTCTCTACACTTAAAGGAGCTCAAGATCAAGTTGGTTGTACTTCTTTGGGGCTTCTGTGAAGTTAAAACAGTTAATGAGGAGATCTTTTTCCTTTGTAACTTGTAATCTGTCTAAACCATGACTGACTTTCCAGGCCCCTGGCACAAGGGCACCTTAGAGTTGCTGGGAGAAGGGAAGGCTGGAGAAACAGCTTTTGAAGACAGATCAGTCCATTGCCTAAGCAAGAAGCTCTCCTTCCCAACCGCCCTCAGGGTGCTTTGTTTGCTGTGAGGGGCAGACAGGTGCGTCCAGGTGAGGCTCTGTCTTGGAAACATTCCATGGCTGTTACTCCAGACCCTACCCTCTGCCTCAACCCAAGACAGACCAGGACAACAAGATGGGTGGGTAACTGTGGGGTGGTGTCTATCTGTGTTCTGAGAGAGGAGTGGCATCAAAGGAGAAGCAAGGACTGAGAATTGGCTTGGGGGCAGGGAAGGAGGTACAGGCATTGTCGAAGTAGGGCTAAGGAAGGAGTGGGGAGTTGTTGCAAAACCCTGGGGCCTGACCATGTTGCATGTCATACAATCTGCCTTACTGAGAGACCCCCAAATGGTTTCCCTCTCTCTCTCTGTGAAGAAGTATTAAGTACAGCCTCGCCAAATTTCATTCAGTCTTAGACCTGAGCTCTACAGGGGAGGAGATAGCCGCCTATGGTAGTAGCACAGGTCAGAAGAAAAACCTGAAAGAGGTGGAGAGAAGAGGCTAAGAGGAGTGTGGCTCAGACAATGGATAGTCCACTTCACATCAAAAGTCTCTTCCTGGACCTCTTACAGTGGAAGTTAATACTTCCTGTTCTTCCAGTATTCTGGATTGTCTTCAGTTTCCAAAAGGCAAGGCTGACACCTCCCAGGGGTCCAAGTAGGGGAAGTTAGGGCCTCCCTCCCTCATCTACTCAATGCTAGCCCAAGCTAAGAGAGAAGAAATCCTAGCTCAGAGCAGCAAAGCCACAGACCTTTGTTAATACTCTCACATAGGAGGGGGAAGGGCGACAGGAATGGAGGCGAGGTGAGTCTAAAAGCTAAGACCTAGAATTCTGTAACTTTTTTAGGTTTGCTGTTATTTTGTGACCACAACACATAAGAATTTATTTTTAAAGTGCCATTACAACCTATGCTTTGGGAAAATATTTTGTGGCCAACTCTGTAATTGCATTATAGACTTATTCAGTAGGTGATGGAAAATAAGACATATTGCTATTGTGGAAAGGATTAAATGATATAGCGCCTTTATCAGGGTATAATAGAATTTAGAGGAATTTGGCCAAACTCATTGCCATGGAGATGGATGAGTCAGGAGCCAGCCATGCTGGCTAACACCGAGAGTTGAAAATACCAGAAACTATTTTTAAGCAGAAAAAGGACTTATTAAAGAATATTAGGTAGCTCATTGGTGATGCAGGCAGGAATGTCATCAGATTACCCTGCATGTTCAGTCTGGTAGAGGCAGCACTACTGCCTCCATTGAACATGGGCAACTCAGATCTTACTCCCAAACCTGGCCAGCGGAGGCTGCCACTAGAAGCTCTGCCTTTGCTTTCTTTGGAAGATGGATTCTTCTATCAATATTCTTCACCAAAATGACTCAGTGTGGCATCTGTTCTTTATATTCTTATCTTCTGAATCTGCTTCTTGCAGGTATCTGTGGTTGACAGCTCTTAGATCACATGTCTTCATCCACGGTAGTAGATTGGATTATTGTTCCCATCTATTTTCCCCCATTTTGTAAGGGAATGTCTAATTCCATCCATCACCTTATGACTCACATTGTGTCCCTATAGGTGAAGAATATGTCCGCAGGCCATTATGAGACTTGACAATGTGACTGTCTTGGGTCATTGGAATGAGAGCCGAGGTGAAGTGTTTTAGTTCCCTACAGAAGCTTTATGAGACACTGCATGTTTGTACCACCTCTTGGTGTTTTTCCTCTACCGCAATAAAGACATGTCCCAACGAAGAGCCCCTCCTTCAGCTTGAGTCCTGGATGAGAAAACATGTGGATCAGAGTCCCAGAAGTCCACCTGCAGCCAACGACATGATGTGTAAATGAGAAATGTTTGTTGTTTAAGTCTCTGTGATCTTGGAGTTTTTCTAATAGTAGAAAAACTGATTAATTAGTTAGGAAGGTGAGTTTATGGCTTTCATCTTGGGGAGATGTAGAATCATAAGGAGGGAAATCCCTGAAACGTAGGAAGATCAATCCAAGTGCTGAGTGGCCACAGTAAATGACAAATGTCCACTATAAACACAGACTCTACATTCACAAAATTTAGAAAACACACAGAAGCACTCAGAACAAAATGTGGCCACCTCATTGTACAATAGCATTTCTCCTGTCAAAGAGAAGTTCAAATCCACTTTCCATTGCTGGCCACAGTCCTAAAAGAGAAATATAATGTTATCTGGGGAGGGGGCAGAAAGGAAAACCAGGAAGGAAAAAAAAGGATTGATGGTTTCAAGTTTTCAAAATTGTTTTGTCAACCTGTGCTCATTGTTTGGTATCTAGAGCCAAATTCAGGAATATGTCTAGTCAAGTAGTTAAGAGTGATACTATGATTCCCATACAATGTGAGAAAAAAATTTGTCTATATAAACAATCTCCCTTTTGAGGGGAACAGTAAATGAAGTATTTTTGTTTTCTCAATTTAGAAAATTTCAATGTACCATTTGTCTTCTAAGTATTATCATGCATATTGCCAAACTTCTGCATTTTCCTTTCTATCTCCTCTTTGTCCCCTATGCTCCAAGCATCCTAATTGCAGCATTGAGACTATGCTCTGTCTCGGGATACAAGATCTACTTTCTTTTCAGCAGGATGCATTATGTTCAACAAAAAGAAATTTCAAACAAAGTTTAGGGCCCAACATTTTCTACAGTCCTTGTTACCTGCTTTTTTCTCTGAATGTATCTACTGTAGGATTTCAAGGACTCTTTAGCTCTTTGCCAAAGTGGCTACCACTGCTACTTCCTGCAATGGAATTCCTTAATTAGGTCTGTGAGTCTGGCCTTAAAGGAGAGGTCCCCCCCTCCTATTATTTTCCACATTCATGACCTAGAAAATCATAATCAACTGATTTCTGAACCTGAGCTGCTGTTTTCTTCCAGAGTCTACACCTTCAGGGACCCAGAGAGGCCTATCCTTGTGTATATATGTCTTCCTATATTCTTGCTTTTCCTCACTGAGCTTTCATATTTTCTAGAACGTCTATAAATATTGCCACTCCTTTTCCTGCGTAGTAAGATATGACTCTAACGTCCTTTAATATTTCATTTCCCTCGTTTTATTTCCTGTCAGTTAAGGCAAGTCCGGCAATTTTCTTTTAATCTTGTAACGCTGGCTCCATTTTTTCTCTACCACTTGTAGGAGCAACACATTTACTGGACCAGAATGTCTTCCAGTGCTCCCTCACTTTCTCTTTCAACTCAACGCCTAAGGAAGATCCTCTCCTCCTTCAATTCCTGATACATTCAGTTTGCGTACTACCACTTCTAAAACTCCTAGGTATCCCTCTATCTTCTCATTAATACACTCTGTCATTATTTTACCTGCTGACTAAGATGATTATACAACTTCCCTTGTCGCTTCTGTGCTAATCTGATTACCAGAGCAATGATATTTTTGTTATAGACTTCCTTTAATTATTTATCGGCCTTAGGATTTATGATGGTTTTATTTACAACTCCCATTCCCCCGCTCTCCCAGTGGTTCAAGATGAGGCTTCTTCTTTATCTGCTTATTAATGACATTTATTATGTTTGGAACCACATTCCAGGTCTCTGAATAATCTGCAACTTGATCATGGCTTAACTAATAAATGGACCAGAGGTAATTTTTGATACATGGTTGGTGCCCAGGGTCAGATTACAGACAAGACATGCAGCTCTCTAGAAGTTAATCCTACCTCCGTCCTGGATACAGCTTAAAGCAGAATAAAAAACCTCACAAAACTTAGGGATTACATTACCTATGTAATGCTCTTTACCAAATCATAGCAGTAACAACCCCAAGGCCTAAGATATCCTCACTAGATCTCTACCTACTTCAAGGTTAATCACCCTTTACCTATATAGAATTACTCCGCTCTTACTGTTTGGTGTAATGGAGGAGTTTCCTGTCCTCCAAAGTGAATCCCTGGCTCCACAAATCAGGATCTTGCTTATGTATATGACATCATTTGCATTTTGAAGCCTAAATATGAGAGGCTCCTCCCCCATTCAAGACCTTCTAATGCTCTTCACGGCACTTTACTTCCCATGACAGAACCTGGTCCAGTTGCTTCCTCATGCTGCTGACTATACAACATGCTGTTGGTCACCGTAACAAGAATAACCTGATGGAACGATAAGAATGGAAGTATATTCTTTGATTCAGAGTGGTTGTAAAAGGCCACAGAGATCAAGGTAGTAGATAGATGGGCACTCTGAGTATTTGCTAAGGTGAAAGATTCAGCAGAGAACAAGAGGCTGAAGATACATATGAGATATGAATTGAAGGGAGGAGATCCCAGAAGATATGAGTGGGAGGGGGAGGAGAGATGGGGTTCCGAGCATAGGTGGAGAGATTGTCTTAGAAAGGAGAGATACCTCACTCTGTATACAGAAAAGAGACAAGAATAGGTATAGATATTTTTATAGCTGAAGAGACTCAAACCTAAGATCTTCAGTTTCTCCATGAGGAAGATGTGTAGCAGATGTTATGGGACCATGCCCTCAATGTCCTACTACAAGCCTGTGACTCTTACCTGAAGTATTTCCCTTGATGTGCCATGTGTGGCGGGCCAGAAGTGCCAGAGAGTTAATAGCTCCTGGGGTGTCCCTTAATCAATGAAAAATGAAAGTTGGAGGATAACTACCCAAACTTCTTTACTTGGGTAGTATAATAATGTGGTATGTTCTTCACTGTCTCCCAGAGATGCCTACTAGAATCGAGTCTCAGCTTCCCCTAGTGATAACCTGCTTGATAATGCACACTTTATTGACTTCCTTTCTGTCATTTTCTCACTTCCTAACATTCCTAATATTTCATCCTGGGATCACCTCCCAAATAAACTACTTGAACTCAAATCCATGTTTCAGGACTGTTTCTGGCACATCCAACCTAAGACAAGTCATATTATCTGCCAAGAAAATTCTCAGAATAACTTCTCCATGTTATTTTATTCCTTTCTATACTGGTGAGTTTTTGGACACCAGAGGATCTATTCTTCCCTGGTGTCGAGGGCCATTTGTTTCATGGCCTTTGCCAATAATTTCATAAATAGCTTAAGTTGCTAGCATCCTGACACTATAACTCTGGTTTAGGATAAGAGCTGATTATGGAACACAGACTCAGATGACTAAGACTCTTCCTCTGGACATGTACGAGGATCACATCTATCCAAGTACGTGAGTTGATTTTTAAAAAATATATAGAATATCTAACCACAGAAACATATATAAACAGTAGATACTCAAAAAGTCACTATTATTAATAGTTATGTGCTAGTCACTTTCTATATATTCTGATTTTCACAATATCCCTGCAAGGATCTATCACATCCATCTTCTCAGGTGAGGATACTGGGACACGGATTTACTTACCCAAGGGGTTAAGCTAAGATCTGAAGCCAGGTGTGTTATGAAAGTTCTCACTTTTTTCCTTCAACTTTATTAATTTAACATCCACTTTACCCAAAATCTTGGGAACATTTCAATTTGAAATATTCTGGCTTAGTGTCCCCCCAAATATTTGTGGACCTTTTGTAGCATGGGCACTGACCTTTTAGTTTAGAAGATATGTATATATACCCACACATGTATATACACACAGTATATTGTGTATGTATAAACATATGTATATAAGTGTATATTTAAAAATACACCACGAGATGGTTTACAACAACTTCATCAAACTCCTCTTAATCAATCCTTTGCATGTTCATAGATTTCAAGTGACTGGGCAACACTGTGTGTGAAAAGATCACCAGCTTTGTTTCAGGCTCAGGCACAATTTGCTTAACCTCTTCCTTTAGGTCTGTTTCCTGTCTTTAAATCTGGAGATAATAAAACCTACCTCATAAAATTGGTGTTTGTACTAAATAATAACGTATCTAATGTCCTTATTAATGTATCCACCATGCCTAACGGTGTCTTGCACATGACATGCACACCAATGATAACTGTAAAGGAAGGAAGAACTATGAGTACAGTGTGGTACAGGATTTGAAACACCTTCCACGCAGGAAATTTGACACTGGTTCATGATTCAAAACGACTCTGCCTGGTCAATTTTTTTCTACCTTGTTGAGATATTATTGATATATAATATATGTAAGTTTAGGGTAAACAATGTGATGATTTGATATATGTATATATTACAAAGTGATTACTACAATAAGGTTAGTTAACACCTCCATCCCCTCACATAATTACCATTTTTTTGTGTGGTGATAACATTTGAGATTTACTCTCTTAAACCCTTTCAGGTATATAATATAGTACTATTAATTATAGTCATCAGGCTGTACATTAAATCCCCAGAACTTATTCATCTTATAGCTGGGAGTTTGTACCCTTTGACCAACATTTCCCCATTTTCCCCAACCCTCAGCCTCTGGCAACCACCATTCTACTCTCTATTTCTATGAGTTTGGCTTTTTTATTCCACATAAAAGTGAGAACATACAGTATTTGCCTTTCTCTGTCTGACTTATTTCACTTAGCATAAAGCCCTCACAGTCCATCAATGTTGTCACAAAAGGCAGGATTTCCTTCTTTTTCATGGCTGAATAATATTCCATTGTATATGTGTATATATATCGCATCTTCTTTATCCATTCATCCATCAGTGTACTCATATGTTGTTTCCATGTCTTGGCTATTGTGAATAATGCTGCAATGAACATGAGGGTGCAGGTATCTTTTCAAGATAGTGATTTCGTTTCCTTCAGATATATACCCAGAAGTGGGATTTCTAGATCATGTGGTAGTTCTGTTCTTTAAAAAAATATTTGAGGAAACTTCCTACTGTTTTCTATCATGGCTGAACTAATTTACCTTCCCGTTAACATTGCATAATGGTTCCTTTTTACCCACATCCTTACCAAAACTTGTTACCTTTTTTCCTTTTGATTATAGCCATCCTAACAGGAATGAGGTGATATCTCATGATTTTGATTTGCATTTCCCTGATGATTAGTGATCTTGAGCATCTTTTCATGTACCTGTTGCCCATCTGCATATCTCTTTTTGAAAAATGTCTATTCAAGTCCATTACCTATTTTTTAATGAGATTGTTTGTTTGTTTTTGCTATTGAGTTGTATGACTTCCTTATATATTTTGGGTATTACCCCTTATCAGATAGATGGTTTAAAAATATTTTGTCCTGTCCCATTGGTTGCCTTTTCATTTTGCTGATTGTTTCTTTTGCTATTGTACCTACTCAAAACATATAATATAATATAATAAAATATATATTCTTCCATATATATTATATTAATACACATAGATTAGGTGGTCATTCTATTTCTGCTGAATAACTGGAAGCAGGAATTGCTGTGGAAATTGAGCAGAGTGTCAAAGAGCCCAGCTAGGATAGAGCTCGCTGCCCACGCTGCATCCTACGACTGGACTTGAAAGGAGAAGAAAAGAGAAATGTGGGCAAAGGGAAGGGGAGGGTTCTCCCCTGCTCCACCGTCTCGTCGTGGAATCCAGCCCAACCACAAGGGGTCTCTGAGGGTCAGTTCCTAGCGACTGAGGCGCCTGGAGAACCTTTGCACCCATCCCTGCGGAAACCGGACTGTGCAGCCTTCCTGATCCCCCAGTCCAAAACGAGGACATGAGCAGTCCCAGCCAATTGGAGATGAGCAGAGAGACACTTGTAGTCCACGTGTGGACAGATGAGAAGGCGGGGCGGTCTGGCGCTCAGTTTTCTTCTGCAGCTTAGTTTTTCCTGTTGTTTCCTTGGCTTCCTAGAAACCGCCTGCTGAGTAGGCGCAGATATTAAATGTCTTTGAAGGCTTCCTTTTGGCTACAAATGGTCTTGCAAAGTGGGCTAACCCTACACTCTTTCCTTAATCTGCAAAGATGTGGGGTGAAGGGAACAGACAACAGTGTAAACAGTACAAATGGAGTCCTAATTCTGCCCGGAGATAGTCATAGGTAGACTATAAAAAAGACATTCCTGGTAGACAGCAGAGCAAAGGCACAGGTGCAGAGGTGCGATAGAACACGCACAAGAAGAGGGATCCTAGAGCGGTCAGTAGTTGGCAGAGAGTCCAAGACTTATTCCCCTTGCTAAGAAATTTGAGTTTTGACTTTATCCAAAGGATAAAAGGAAGCCACAGGGGAATTTTAAGATGGGGAGTGACATGTTTAGATCCAAAAGTATACCAGGAAACAGACACTTGGGATTTTCAACAGATTTATTAGCCACAAAATTTATTACCAGATGGTCACTCATGAACATGTGTGCTCAGACTGAACTGAAGATATGAAGCAAGCAAATATTTGTACCTGTTCAGTTCTGTTTAGAATCCCTTTTCCTCTTCCGCTAAAAAATTCTACTCTAAGGAGGTTAGATCTTCAATGTGCCCATGGCTCTCTGCAGTGAGACTGAACCTTCTTATGGACATACTGTGATCAGTCATGAACATCTAGTTTCCCTTAAAATCTTTCAGGGTTCGACCCTCTAAATTTTAAGATCGTTGTTCTCAATCATGAGTGTGCATGAAAATAAATGATTTAGAACTTTGAAACACTGCTATAAGTATTTGTTGCTCAACCAGCATTGTGGAACATGCTGGTGTCTTATATCTTATATCTTATAATCTTAGAAATTAGAGCTTGGGACCATGCAAGACTATGCAGTGAAAAGGAAGGCCATTATAAAATAATGATAAGAAAAGATCAATATTCAATACTGTACTCAGAAGGGTTCTGGGAAGATGGCAACATAACTTTGATTTCCTCTTTTTAATTTTGTGTGTGAAAAAATTCAACTAAGAAAATACAGTTCAACAAGAATATACAATCCTGTCACACAAAAGAGAGCAAAAGTTCTTTCTAAATTTGGGATTTGTGTGAGTCTGTTGAAAGTAAGGTGGAAGGCAACTGACCTACCTTGGAGGAAAGCTCTCATGAAACCATACTGGGAGGCCCTCACTTCAGAGCCTCCAGTAATTGGCCCCTGTTGAAAGAACTCTGCCTCATGTCTCCAGGAGTCTTACCTTGCTTGAGAGTGTGGGCTGGCCAGCTCACCTGTGCCATTCCTCTTAACCTTCTTAGGAAGAGGCCCATCTACTGTTCAGTGAGAAGGAGGCAGGACACTATGAGAACCTAATTAGCAAAGAACAGTGATTTGTCAAACCATAATTCATAACCAATGAGCAGACAAAGAGAAGCAAGTCATGTGGGAAAAATATCAGAGCTTGAAAAAAAGGGAACAAATCTGAGAAATCACACCAAATGGCCTGGTAAGAAACTGGGTAGAAATGAGAGAACTTAAAAAAAAAAAAACTGAATTCATAGCATCAGTGAGAGCTGAGAAAATCCTGTTGTCTTAAAACCAAGAATAGGCTGCTACAGAAGAAAAGCAATGTGCAAATGAAAATGAATTACTGGAAATAGAAATAACAATAAAATAGAGTGTGCACATTTTACGGGAGACAGTTGGTTGGTTATGAACCAATAGAGGGAGGAAGTAGGAGTATTTTCTTGAATCCCTAAACCCCCAAGGTATAAAGAAACAAACAGAGTAGCCATTGTCTTTCTGCACAACAATCTTGGAGAACGTCAAAAATTGGTCATGCATAGTTCTTTGTTTTTCAGCAAATATATAGACTTGCATAAGAAAAGATAAGAGACACGGAAGGCAAATACAGACATTCCAGAAGGAAGGAAAGGAAAGGAAAGGATGGAGCAGATGGAGTAAAAATCAACATTCAAGGAAATAGCTAGGAGAAAATTTCCAAAAGCCAAAGACTCAAGTCTTAAGATGCAATATGCTCACTCATTCATAAAAGATCTATCCCTAGATAATTTCAGATGAAATTTCTGAGCTCCAAGAAAAAAGAAACCATCTAGC